ATTCTTCGAGACATACGTAAAGAAATAAGGTTAATCATAACTCTCTAAGCTCCGGTAAGGTTTACAGTCACGTACATCCCTACTAGCGTATGGCCACTACGTCCTGCTGCTACCCTGTAGGAATGTCCTTGGACATGCGTATTCATTGCCTCCCCCCAACATGCTGTTTTCCAGTATACCGTGATTGTCAACATTTTTTTTGCCAATTTTTTGTGTAAATAATACTGGTGTGTTTTAGTTACTTGCAATACTTCTATTTTATTGCAGATATGTTCGAGCTAATTATAAATGAATATCTTGGAAATACTATGTGCAAGGATTGGACGATTATTGACATGCTCGAATATGTCGAATCAAAATCTGAAATATCCACTGATCTAATCGAGACCTTGAAAACTGAAATATACTCAACTTTACAAAATTTCAGAGATACTCATAACATTCATATTCACGAGAACGCAAAAAACAAAGCTTTGATAAGTTATTCTCTTCAGTTAACGTGAATAATTTTATTAATGAATTAAAATTAAAAGATGAAAGAAGGGGATTCCATCTAGCCGTGCGTCGAAATGTGACCTCATCAAACACGTTACAAGCACTAGAGGGGTAGGCTTAATACAAATTTAGGAATAAACCATCGCAATAGTCTTAATGTGAATTATTAGAAACATTGCTCAACCAGAAAAGAAATTGAAGAGATACGCAATACAAATGAAAATGAGGTTTCTATCTCTGTTAATGATGAATCTGGTCAGGGTAATGAAAAAGGAGTGACTCAAGAGGTGTTTAGTTATTTTTATTGTTTTATGTTTAAATGGTTAAATGATGATTGTTTTTATTAATCTCTTGTCACAATATCTATCATCACCCACTACGGGATTCAGCAATAACACAAGCATCATTTAGTGATAGTTTTGGAGACATTGACAAAAATATTTTTAATCTTTGAAATCTTATCCTATTTATCTAATTTTAATGGGGTATCCCAACCCAGTCTAACTGCTAAAGGATCGTCTACCGCCTTAGTAAAATCAAAAACCACAAATTTATGATCCCACAAATACTTATCAATAATTTTGAATTATTTGTATATTGATATATGATTTTACTGATATTGTTTCTAGATCCTGAACCTCAAAAATAGGCATGAATGTGAAATATTTTCATGAAATATTTTATATGTTTGGGTATATTTCTGATTTAAGATATTTTGATAATGACCACTAATGAAATAAGAAATAATTTGTTCATAAACTTTCTTTGATTTAGCATATAGATTCTTAAATATAGGAACCGTACTTTGCCCTTAGTTATATTTGGGATTTTATCTGGAAATATTTTTTTTAATATGACATCTTGATATAATTTATAGACATTTACAAAGATCTGAAAGCTATTTTGTACATATTACCATTTTAGC